TCATTTTTTGAAGGAAATTTGGATAGATAATATAATCATTTTGCATATGACATTTCCGTAAAGAATATCATCACATGCAGATTTACAAATTACAATCCTACTCAGCATAAAAAAAAATTAAATATATATATATATATATATATATATATATATATATATATATATATGGGTATTAGAAATTCCACCTCACTTTACCAATGCCCTCTTTGCCAGGGTATTCCCCGCCTAAGTTGAGTATAGATTATTAATTAAATTCATATTTCAATGGCTATTAAACAGGACAATTAAATTCACCCCCACTCCCCCAACCAGAAGAACTCTTGAAAATACATTCAACTTCCCAAACTCTTGAAAGGGGGAAAGTGGTATTTGAAATTTTGAATTTTGAATCTGATTCTTTGCTTAAGATTTAATTTAAGTAAATAACTAAAATAAGTAAAGCCTATAAAGGGGGGAAAGTGGTATTTGAAATTTTGAATTGCAGATTCTGATTCTTTGCTTACAGGGCGTTTGGTTGGAGGGATTTTAAATTCCCTTCCCACTTAATTCTCATCTAATTTCAAAGGCCATTAAATTCCGTAGTTTGGTTGGAGGAAATTGCAATTCCATGGAATTGCAATTCTCCCATTTTCATGGAATTAAAATCACATGTCCCTTTTGGGATTTTAATTCCTGGAAAAAAAAAAGATAGTGAGGAGTCAAAATTACTCATTCCTTTTTTAACCTAAAATTAATGTCTAACAACAATAATGGACATTTTTGACTTTATACTACTTATTCCCTTTCAATTCCCATGTATACCAAACATTGGAATTGAAATTCTCAGTAATTTTATTCCTGTCAACCAAACACTGAAATTTAAATTTCCACTTTATTCCCAATAATTCAACTCTTAGGGGGCGTTTGGTTCAGGTTATATAACATAACCAAGGGAATGTGACATTCCAAAGCTCACATTCCTATGTTTGGTTCACATTAACTCAGGGAATCTAACATTCCCCAAGAATGTCACATTCCCTCCACATAGGATTTTGAAGGGAATGTGATTCCCTTCAATTTCTAAGGTTATGTAAGATAACCTTGGTTATGTTAGTTTATCTCTCACACACACACACACACATACACACACACACACACACACACACACACACACATATATATATATATATATATAATTATTTTTGTAATTATATATTTTTATTTTTATTATGTTAGGTTAGCATATAAAATAATTTTGTTTTTCAAGTTCAATATTTTAGTTAATATTTTAAAATCATGTAATTATATATGATACCGTTATTTTATTTATTTATTTTTAATTTTTAAATTTATTAAAATATATGAAAATATGTTAAGGATATTATAGTGTGTGAACCCTAAACCAAACATAATTATATTACATACCCCAATTTTAACCAAACACAGGAATCTCACATTCCCAGTAATCTCACATTCCGAGTAATCTAACATTCCCTAAGGTAATCTGACATTCCGTGAACCAAACGACCCCTTATAGAATTATCCCTTTCCCACATAATTTCCCCTTCCAACCAAACGCCCAGGTTTAATTTAACTAAATAAGTAAAGCCTGTAAAGGGGGAAAGTGCCAAAGTGGTATTGAATGGAATGGATGTATGTATATATAAATAGGCAGATAGATGGAATGTTTCCCAACCATTACACTGCATATATTCTTCAGAGCTAAAGATGGGAAAAATTTGCAGATAGAAACTAAATTACTTAATGGATTCTTCTTTCTTCTTTCTTCTTCCTCTTCTTCCAGTTACAGCAGCCTTCCTCAAGGCACACAGGCGATGCAAAGCATTATATCGCAGATTTCAGCAAATACTTGTTACTGTACAAAACGTCACACAAATTGGGAGGAAGCTCAAAAGTTGTTGAGCCAACAATGCAATACAATCCAAACTCCTCTCAACTATTATTCACAAATTGTGTTTCATGTTGTGCATCATTTGCAGAAAAAACTTGTAGCAATGTTGCCGGATGAAGCGTGATTCGCCTCGAAACTCGCACCGGCAGCGGCACTGCGGTGTTGCTGCCATGTATGGAAACATTGAGGTGGCTGAATCTCAAATGGTGCCGTATCTCTCTTTACCTCGGGTATTAAACCCATGACCACATAGGGTTTAATTTGTTATGATAAAATATGTGTTGCATCTCAACTAAAAGTTTAAATTAATAGTTAAGTTATACTTGATGAATTGTATATCTCATGTGTGCTCAATCTAGTACGAGGACTTGGTTCTCAACCTCTTATAGTTGTATTATTGAATTCCTCGTTCCAGTTTAATGAAACTTTCTTTTTATTTTCAAAAAATATTTGGTTAGGGTGTCATCCCGCATTATGAACTACCCCGAATTGTTCATGTCACATTTTGACCTTTCAAAACGTTTATTTAAATTCACTTACCATTAATTTTTGTTTCGTCTACCATTTTTTAATGGTTTCCCCAAAACATTTCATTCAATTATTTAAGTTCAATATCTCTGCGTTGTTTTAATTCCTTTTGGGTTCGACCATTGCTTCACAATATTATTATATTGACTTTGCAGATATTATTAAAATTGTTCATTAAAATAAAATAACAAATGAATAAATAACATAAAAATTAAGAGAAAGTATGGTAATATATTAAGAGAGAGAAAAAAAAAAAAAAAAGTAGTTGATTCGATTGTGAATTCGAATAGTGTAGTTCAATCAACATAATAAATGCAAACGTTTTAAAAATTCAAAAAATATTATGCAACATGTTAACGCCATAAATTTTTGAAATAGTTATTAATCTTTATTAGTAGAATATAAATAAATTAATAATATTTATTATTTCTCCGAATCAAATGAGAGATGAAACCTCCCACATAGAGGAACAACGTGGTACCATTGGACTACAAGGTCCTTGGTCTGATCTAAGCTATTTATTTACAAATAAGTCTAATTCTAATTAGAAACGGGATTACACAGAATGATTAAGCTAAGCTTTTATACAGGCATCACAAATTGCTGGGGAATTTTTGCCGGAGAGTGTTGGCTTCACGTTGTCGCATTCCGATATGGCGCTGCTGTTGGTTCCTTTGTATTCCAACTTCACCCAACTCAGCACTACTTTGTTGCACGGTACTCCGGAGCTGCACAGTAATTTCACCGCCACCTTCGTCGCCGACGTCCCCATTATCTCCTTGAAGCTAACGTCGCTGATCTTTATTTTCGACGGGACGCCGGTCTTGCATTGATTCCAGGGGCAGTATTGCTGATCGATCAAGATTGGGTTGCTGACATTGTCCATCATCACATCTCTTACAAGGACCTAGAAACTCAATCTGACCCACCATATACTTGACGGCCGGAACCTTCAGCGTGCTCGGCGCCGCCGCTTTGCATACCTCACCCCAAGCTTTCTTAAAAGCCAGAGCATCATCGCACTTCCCGTCGCCTTTTGCACCAGATGTTTTAATGTTAACTTCAACACCCTGTACTGTTGCTACGAGATATGCCACATAGAAAAAAAATCAATGCAGCTTGAATCACCTTAGAACCCATCCTTTTTTTTTTTTTTGTGGTTTTTTTTTATAAAATTTTTATGTAATATAATTTTTTTAGATTTTTATTTTTATTTTTTTATTTTATTTTCCTTTCTGGTTGAAATCCAGTAATGGAATACAATTTGAAACAATTAAAACAACTTATAAAAACAATGAATTATACAAATAATGTTATACTTTTTAATTTATAACTTAACAAATATTCGTCCCCGCATGAATTTTTCAAGGGCGGAAATTTCTCGTCTTAGTTTTCTTTTTTATTAATTTGTTATACACTTTCAAATTTTATAGTACATTATAAAATAATATTTTATTTAAATTATACAGTTAATTTACAAATTTATATATTTAAATATTCAATTAGTGTAACATCCAATCATCTAAAATACAATTAGTAAAAATTGCTTAAAAACATTAAACAATACTTAAAAGATTCAAATTGTTTAAATCTTTAAGTTCTTAACCAAAATACTAAATATCCATACATAATAACTAAAACAAAGTTCAAATTAAATATTAGTACATATAAATATTACTCCATAGTATATTACATATAGTTATATAAATAAATAAATTAAGATATATATATATATATATATATATATATATATATATATATATATATATATATATATATATATATATCAAGGGTTTAGGATTAGGGTTGGGGTACAACTCTCATTTCGTTCTTCGGAAAATTTCTCTGTTCTTGTTGGGATCGAGTTTTTGATCAGAATCGAGTTGAATTGTCATTCTTAAGTAGTAGTAGTGGTGGTGGTAGTAATAATAATTCAAAAATTAAAATTTTTAAAAAATGTAATTTTTTTTTAAAAAAATGTCAGGGGTTTATTTTGTGTATTAATTTTTTTTTAAATCTATTATTAAAATTTATTAAAAATTATTTAAAATGCCACCTCAGCTGCCACGTAAGCAGGTAATCTGCTAAAAGTGATGGTAACCTGCTATCCGGTGAAATTGCATATATTTGGAGTGTTCAGTGGCCTAATTGCACGTTTTTGGAGTGTTCACTGTTCAGTGGCCTAATTGCACTTTTTTTCTTCGTTCAGTGGCCTAATTGCATTTTCATGTTACGTTCAGTGACCAATTTGAACCTTATTCCAAATATTTTCCATAGAAAATGTTTTTCATCCAATCAAATATCCCCTAAGTGATTCCTTAACCTTTAAGGATAAGGAAAGGTAACTTAATAATTTTATCTCATATCAAATTTTAATGAGCTTTGACTTGTTGACCTCATTTAATAAACATAGAAATATTTGTATTTGATTTATTTTTTGAAGAAAGGTATATTTGTATTTCTAAGATGGTGGGTAATACACAAACCGATCCAAAATATAATTACATTAAAATTACAGGTTAAAATTGTTTTGAGTACAAAGTTTGACTAATTTGGGATGTGCTAATGTTCTAAAATTTAGCCCTAGAAGGCTTAAAACTTAAATCGCCCGTGGACTTCTGGCGATATATATTGTTGGAAATTTCTGGAAATTTGGGAGAAGAGATTTCAATGGAAGAAATTGCAGTAGAAGCCATAAACCACGCGCTGAGGGCCCTTCGGAAGCGGCATTTACTCGAAGAAGCCGCTCATCTTCCTGCTTTCACCGCCCTTTCTCGCCCTATTATTCATCAAGTTCCTTCCCTTTCTCTGATTTTATTCTGTCTCCAATTTCTCGTGTATAATTTTAGTTTATTTGTATAGTTTACTGAATTTTTCAAGTGGTTTGTTTAATTGAGTTCAATTTAATCATTTTTTTTTGTTGCAATGCTTTATAATATTTAGGGAAATTGTAATATTCCATGAAAGTAAATATTCGAGAGGCTTAAACTTAAGCAATCATAGTGGTTATGGTTCCGAGATGGGTGAGTAATATGTTCAGGGAGGGGTGTGTTGAGGAGAGCTTTACAGAGTTGTAGATATTTACTGACCTAATAATTATTGACCATCTTATTTCCAAAAAAAAATTAAAAATTATTGACCATCTTTGGAGGATAGCATAAAATGATGAAGAATGGTGCTATTGCTGCATCACCAGCTTCTGGGTAGTTTATTGTTAGGCTTGTGGCACATATGAATCAAACCCCAGACCCCAGTTAACCTTCATAGGTGTTGATATTATTTCTATGATTTTTACATTCTCTCTCTATGTCATAAGCCAAAGTGGCTTCTTCAGATGTGCTGAACATCCTGAGCCAAATTTTTTGTGTTGAATCACTGTTCTTAGCTGCATAACTGAACCATGGCTGCTTTCTGCTCCTACTTGTTTTTCAACTTTCACCTTGTTGGCTGGTTCTGTGTTTGCATGTGTAGGACTACTTGGTATTCAATATTACTCTCCTTCAAGAAATTATCCTTGAGTTTGCTTGGGGTAAGAAGCTTGTCCTTATTCCATCGAGGGAATGAGAACTAGTAAGAGAACATGGTCAGTTTTGCCTGAGAGACAGTGAGAGGAGAGAGAACAACTTAAATCTGATGATATCTTCATACCTTCTATTGATTGTAAGAGGAAGAGAATGAGTATGAGAGGAGGTTTTGCAGACAAGAGACTTGTCTGTGGGCAAAGTGGAAAGTTTTGTGTCAAAAACCTGTTTTTGTCAAATTTCAAAGCTGGAGCATAAAAACTAGTTCTGCTTTGTCTCTTCTCCGTAAAGAGAAAAAAATTGGACACATTCAATAAACTATAGTTTGTATAAGCTTTTAGAAGTTTGATTTTATATTTAGTCTTTTATTAAAGTTATGGAGTCTGGAGGTGTGGGGGGTTTGTTGACTCAGTTTGCGTAATCAGATTTTACAAAATGACAGAATGTGAGTGTCAGCCATTTTTATTGATTTATGGTTTACTTGCATAAACTTGATTCTTGTTTAAACTATCTTCTTACTAATGTTGCTCATATTAGGTATTATTATAAGATAAAAAAGGTTCCACAACCTGTATTTCAATGGAATAATGCAATGCCAGCCGCTGTTTCATTTTTTAAAATTTAAAACTACAAAATTAAATAGTAAAGAGAAAGCTGGGGCAGGAGACTAATCCATTTATTAGGGTGTTTTCCTTGGGTTTAGTCTTTTAACTTATCATTCATTATCTCCTTCTGTTCACTGCTCTCTGTTATGTGTCATTTTCAGTCAGCAACTTTTGCTTTGAACTTGCCAAAGCTGTTTAATTAGAGTTTTTAGATTGACAATTTCATACTATATTATAAGGAATAGTACTAAACATTTTGTTTCTGATGTTAGAGAAACATGGTCTTCATCAGATGTATGTGCTGATTTTTTGTTATTAGTAAAATACTGAAGGATTTGTTTCCTAGTTGTCAATGTTTAATTGGATTATGATTGACTTTATCTGTTCTATACTTCTACAACAGGGCTCAGAATGGAAAGAGAAAGCTGAAAATCTTGAAACAGAGCTTCAACAATGTTATAAAGCTCAATCTCGGTTGTCAGAGCAGCTAGTAGTTGAAGTGGCCGAGTCCAGAGCTTTAAAAGCTCTAGTTCAAGAAAAGGAAGCCATGATTACTGACCTGCAAAATGAGCTTAATCAAGCAAGGTTTCTCCTTTGATCTCCGCTTTATTATTAATTATTAATATTAATTATATTTTTCAACTATCAAAATGAGCTCAATGAAGCAAACAATCTATATTTACTGATGCAAAAGGTGCTGAGATGCATTATAACAAGTTAACAACATGTGTAACACTAATTCCTTTTCAATATACTGTCCCATTCAGCTTTGCATGACTATTAAGAAAGTTGATAAAATATTTTCTCTATCCACATATGCCCTTTAATTAATTTCAAAATATATAATTCAATGTTTCAAAAATTGAATAAATGACTGAATTACAGTTTGGGCAATAGTAATTTGCTTGTTTAGGACAATGGGCAATAATACTGACATTTCCATTGAAGGAAAATGGATGTTTAGAATGAAATGGGGGTATAACTAATGCATTTTAATACAAAATGAAGTTGCCAGTCATTGATGCAAAGAAAAATAACAGATTTCACCTTGCTAAAGGTTTTCATAGACTGCAGTTGCACTCTTCAGTATTACGGAGTATTGTTTAGGGAAAAGGACCAAATAAGGGCTCAAACTATTTAAGAAAGTTCAATTATACCCTCGAACTAAGATACGTTTCAAATAAAGTTATACACTCCAATGTTGAAAAAAGAGAGCATTTAGCTCTTTTCCCCTATAAATTACCTGTTGTAGCAAGTTACCATTTAGTTGGCCATTTTTTGCTGATATGTCATTTTTTTTTTTGCTTAATTGGAAAAAATAAATCTTATTGTGAGGTGGTTTCTTAATAATAATAATATTATTATTATTCTCTTCTTCAATGAATAAACATAAAAATTGGAAACCTAGTGTCACCCGCCTTTTCTTCTTTCGATCAGCAGCTGCTGGGGACAGAGGGGAAGCTGCATCTGATCAGCTGCTTCAATTCACCATTATTTTCAGCTGGAGATGAAGTTTTGCCCATTATTATTGCTTTGTTCTTTGAAATTTTCACAATTATTTCTGGCCAAAATGCTTCTCATCATTATTTCAGGCCAAAAACTCTTCTTTGTCAGATCCTAGGAAGAAGAATTCTTCTTCCTCTTCATAATCTTTCCTGACGAAGATGAAGAAATTCCTCTTCAAGATCTGACAGAGGAATTTCTTCATCTTCGTCAGATCTGGATGAGGAATTCCTCATCGTCCAGATTGTTCAGTCCCTTGTATCAGTTGTATGTAGCATGGGCAGCCATTGTTGCCGGTGGCATATGAGGCACCCTAGACCCTAGTTATATTATTATTATTATTATTATTATTATTATTATTATCATTATTATTATTATTATTAAATCAGTAATTAAAGGAAAATAAATAAATACATAAATAATTATATAAATTATAAATGGAAATCACCAACTAAGCAAAAAAAATGACACATCAGCCAAAAAAAAGGCCATGCCAACAGCCAACTAATTGGTAACCTACTACAACGGGTAATTTACAGGAATAAAGGGCTAATTGCTCTTTTTTTCCCAAGTTTGGGTTTTATATGAAGTATTTTCTACTTTGAGGGTGCAATTGAACTTTTCCAAATAGTTTGGGGGTTTATTTGGCCTTTTTCCCTTCTTTTTTTGTTTTTTTTGTTTTTTTTTTTTAATATCAAACTTTAGTGATGATGTAGGTTAAGTTGCAAATAACTTTCATGTCAATCATTTGAAATTTTTGTTAATTGCAGGGATGAATGTTCTAGCCTAACTGCACTTCTTGAAGAAAAGACTCAAGCTCTTGAACTAATGATTATTGAGCACCAGGACCTTAAAGCTAATCTTGATGAAATGACTGAGAAGGCTAACAAAGCTGAAGCAGAAAATAAGATGTTGATTGATCGTTGGATGCTGCAGAAAATGCAGGATGCTGAACGCCTTAATGAGGTATTCTGATTGTTGAAACTTCTTTCTGTCTGCACTTTACGTTGGCTTTCAATAATTTAAAGTTCTGGGTTCATACAATCATGCCATTCTAGACATGTATCTTTCATTTTAATAAATCGTTGTAGAAATGTATCTGTTGGATACGACATCAGTTTTGTGTCCTTGGTCTTTCTCTTCATTCTTTGTATGGTTTCCACTTTGATGCTTGTGCCTAATGAACATGACCTGATGACCGTATGGTTTCCACTTTAATATCAAATCTCTATATTTTTTTTATGTTAGGCTAATTCCCTATACGAAGAGATGCTGGATAAACTCAAGGCCAGTAGTATAGAGCAACTTGCTCGTCAGCAAGTAGATGGTGTTGTCCGACGAAGTGAAGATGGTGCAGAATACTACATGGAGTCAACTATCCCCTCTTCTTGCAAGCAAAGGATCACGGCTCATGAAGGAGGCTGTGCTTCTACCATATTTGAGTATAATTCCAGCAAATTGATTAGTGGAGGGCAGGACCATACAATTAAAATGTGGGATACTAACACTGGGTCATTAAGCAACACACTTCATGGTTGTCTGGGCTCTGTTCTTGATCTTTCTATAACACATGATAACCGATCAATCATTGCAGCTAGTAGCTCAAACAACTTGTATGTGTGGGATGTTGGTACTGGTAGAATACGGCATACTCTCACTGGCCACAAAGATAAAGTATGTGCTGTAGATGTGGGCAAATTTTCAACTCGGCATGTTGCAAGTGCAGCTTATGATCGTACTATAAAAGTCTGGGATCTAATGAAAGGATACTGTGCCAATACAATTCTTTTTCACAGCAACTGCAACAGCCTTTGTTTCAGTCTGGATGGACAGACCATTTGTTCTGGGCATGTAGATGGGAATCTTCGACTCTGGGATTTTCAAACAGGAAAACTTCTGAGCGAAGTCGCTGCACATTCACAGGCTGTGACGTCAATGTCCTTGTCCCGGAATGGAAACGTGATATTGACAAGCGGGAGAGACAACTTGCATAATCTGTTTGATATCCGCACTCTCGAAATCTGTGGCACATTCAGAGCGAACGGTAACCGGATCGCATCTAATTGGAGCCGATCATGCATCAGTGCAGATGACAGTTATGTAGCCGCTGGATCTGCTGATGGATCTGTCCATATATGGTCAATATTGAACGGTCAAATAGTGAGCACTTTGAAAGAACACACAGCCCCGGTTCTATGTTGTTCCTGGAGTGGTCTTGGCAAACCTTTGGCGACCGCCGATAAGAGTGGGATTGTATGTATATGGTCATGAGCTTGCAGCTGTTTCCAGTACATTTCTTATGACAACAGTGGGTGATTGGTTTTTAAGCTGCTTGAAATCAAAGATCCACCCCAAGATGATTTGACAGTGTCATACCAATGATCTCGACAGCAGATGAATTGAAAAATGTGTATATGGTTCTTTTCATTATTGTTGGAAATATATTTCATATCACACAAAAAGATGTATATAAGTTTGTTTGTCAACTTTTCTTAATCCTTGGAGACCCAAAAATGTATATGTATATGGTTGTTTCTAAGTTTTCAGATTTAATTAATTGGAAGTTTGTTTATAGCAGAAATGTGTAAATAAGGTTGTTTTTAACATTTCATTGATAAACCACAAGTGTGAAGTGCAACTGTGCGAGGGGCCAATTATGGGGTGGGACTCCCAGCCAACTAGTCTCACAATAACAACATTATGGATGTTCCTTTGTTTAGATTTGTAACTATATATATATATATATATATATATATATATATATATATATATATATATATATATATATATATATATATATATAGAGGAGTGATCACATGTGGCCATTTGTTAGGTGTGGTTATATGGTCAATTATAGACCATTAGATTAGATAGATCTAATGAATCATATTAATCAAGATTTTTTCAGTATTTTCGCGCACATTCTTCTACCCAGCGAACTGTAAGGGTAAACTTGTCATAAAACACCGGAATAAGGAAAATCACATTGTTGTGTGTTTTATTACACTATTGGTGCATGTTGTCAACACTATTGGTGTATTCTGGAACTCGACCGCTATAAATGGCCACTGTAATTACCATAACACAGGAATACATCATTGGTGTGTTCCACTGTGGTGTGTTTTATTACACTATTGGTGTATGTTGTCAACACTGTTGGCCGCCCGCTATAAATGGTCACTGTAATTACCATAACACCCCCACTTACTAAAACGCGCGAAAATCCTCAGAATTACTACAACCTTTAGATTAAACTGATTCAACGACACAAATACGACCACACCTAATGACATGACCACATATAAGCGTTTTTCTATATATATATATATATATATATATATATATATATATATATATTGATCCTCCAGGGTAGTTAGCTAGCTATTTGATCTCTAGGAGGATATGTGATATGCATTTTGCTATCACTTTGTATATATTTTTCTTTTAAGCACTACTTACTCTGTTACGATGCAGTTTCTGTTTATAGCTACTTTCTCAAATTACTGAAGCACAAACTGGTGCCACTAGATCACAAAGTCCTTGACATATACTTTGTATATTATTTGTATCTCTTTAGTTTTACGCTAAATTTATCCATGTTATTTTTGACTGAAATATTCCATAATGAAATGTGATGGACAAAAATATAACACTTTTTAAAAGTGAGTTATATTACTATATTATCATATTTGTAAATTGTAATTCACTCATTATTTTCTTTACATTTATGTAATTTAATTTTAACGCAATTTTAATAGCGTAATAAGTTCTGTCTTACTACACTGGTGATGTCACCATGATTCTATGCTTTGATCATTGCAAAGTTTTATTTTTCCTCGTTTTTTTTTTCTTTTATTATGCACTGTAGATTGCTTTTCATAATTAGGTGTCGCTGTGCATACCACATCTACTTTCCATTTTCATATCCGTATTTCTTCCATCGACCACTTCTACTTTTTTGGACGTGCCACAATTTATAATCTCTTTGTACACATGACAAATCAATAAAAATCGAGTGTCATTTATTCATAGCTTGAGATTCGTATGTATATATAGTACATGACAAATATTTAACAACTCACACTGTCACACACATAAATTAACTTATCAGAGTAGTGGCCCATGCATGAAATCTACTTAACCTTATTTCCCTGTACAGTGGAGCCTTAGCTTAGTGCTTGCTCCATCATGGCATCAATATAATTCCATTCAATTTTTGTAATATTCATCCGTCCTAGAATCATCATCATCATCTCCACAGTGGTCCTCAATTTAATGACAACAAACTCTACATTTTATGATTATAACTTTTCCTTTTCCTAATCTCCACCCACTAACATATACTCACCCACTACGTACTGGAAATTATGGAATTTTGGACCACCTGAAAGTGATCTTAAATCAAGTTAAAAGCAAAAAATGGTCGGAAATAGCAACAAAGGTTTTTTCCGGATACCAACAGTGGTCGGAATAAGGCTTTCGACTTGATTTAAGATCACTTTCAGGTGGTCAGAAATTTCATAATTTCCATTAGTGCACATTCATTGGTCCAACCCCTCTCTCTCTCTCTCTCTCTATATATATATATATATATATATATATATATATATATATATATATATATATTATTAATCCCTTCCACAAATACTGAATTGAAGTTGCATTCATCCCTACCCATTTTGGCCGCCACTTCAATTCATTGTGGAGTGTCGTCTCAACTCCCAATATAGTTAGTTGTAGGGTAGGGGTTACCATCTAATAACAAAAACTATTGTAAACAATTCATCTTAACTAACCAACACGAACACAAACATTCCAAAAATCTTAACAAACAAACACAAACAATCATCGTTTATGTACGATTTGTTAACAGTCTTACGACAACACCATCATTATTTATATATATATATATATATATATATATATATATATATATATATATATATATATATATACTACTATGACTATATATAATATTAATTTTTTTAATTACTCGATCTACTCGTGTTATTAGGGATGACAATAGATATGTACTCATCTGCTTAATTAGCTATTTCTAAATCCGAACCTGAATACATTTAGAACAACTCGAACACGAATGAATATTATATGTATCTATTCCTAACCCGTTTGGCACTATCCAATAGTACTCAAAATCATCATCATGAACCCGTTTAATATATTTACTCACACATGCACACAATATCGTGTATGAGGATTTTACTACTACCCGAACTTGTTTCAAATTTAATTATCAATTATTTGAACATGTCATACTATAAGGGTATGGGAGGTCAGATACCTAATATTATTTTACGCGTTGTCATCCATGAATATTATTCATATTATCCGAATTAAAACTAAAAAAAATAACACTTGAATTTTTAAATATTAGAAATAACATTTAAATATGACCAACTCAATCTATCGCGCATACATGCCTGCACTACTCAATAGTATCGTTATTTATCACTAATAATATTGTAAGTTAAAATGAAGACAAACAATTAAATTTCAAATAACTTTGCATTTTCTTTTCATTTGAAAAATAATATGAAAATTAGATATTGATAAATATGCATTTTCAAAAAAAAAAAAAAAGATATTGATAAATATGCATGTTTTTTTCTTCTTTTTTTTTGTTTTTTTTTTTGTTTTTTGTTTTCTATTATTTTTCTGATGAAAAAAGAAAACGAGAAAACTATGAAAAAAGAAAATAGAGAAATGAAAAACATAAAAATGTAATAAGGTGACCCTCAATATTCCACCATTTTTATTTTTCCCTCTTTTTTCTATAATTTTTTTGGGGTATTTCTTACTCATATGTCTCCTACAAAAATTAAATGATGAAAATGGTGGAATACTTTAGTCATATCGATCAAGTGGTTGAAAAAAAATAGAACAAAAAGAAGTGATTATTTTCAAAACTATCCCATATTTCAATTCCTTTGTTTGGTATGATGGCACTGGCCTGGAGCAAGAAACATTGATTATGTTTATTAACGAGATAATAAATTCTCTATTTTTTAGAAAAATAAAAGTTTGGAGAATGGAAAATAAATAAAATGTTTATGTAAACATTTCTCTAGTTTTTTTTTTTTTTTTTTTTTTTTTAAAAGAATGAAGAATGATTTTTTTTTTTTTAACTAAAAATTATGAAAAAGAATAACAAGCATATGCATAATGCATGTGTGTGTCATAACTCATAATAGCTCTGTCAGTAGCTATAGGGAAAGGGTTTGAATCCTACCAAAAAAAGGATATGAATTTAGTTTTGCTGTGAGTATTAATATACAAATATTATTTAGGAACATATAGGCCAGTTGAAGTGCATCTCTGGATTTACTTCATGCATCCACCAGTCTTTAGACAAGAGTGATGAGGAGTATTTAAGTTCGGAATTTAAACTTATATTAGTCATAATTGACCAGCCCCATGCAAATTATAAAATATTACTCTAGTAGTTAAAAAAATGCTACAGTAAAAAGAAAAATTTTAAAGACTCAATATACGATTATCACAGGTAAACAACTAAGAAAAATAATTAGGTTATCCTTAATTTGGAATAACTTTATAACTTTTTCAAGAATAATTATATTTCTAATTGACCTGGACTTTTTCAAATAAAAACATACACCTTAATAATTGTACGATTTTTAAAATTATTAGAAAAGTTCACTATCAAACAGTATATAATTAAGGGGGTCATATAATAGTACACATACACATATATGTGTCATTGCACATGCATGTACATATATGCTACAAAATTTTTGGGGGACCCACTAAACCACACCATATATGTGGTTAATTGTTTATATACATGATTTTCACAATTGTGGTTAAACATGGAAAATTGCTTAAACATGGATTCGATGAAAATTGATGATAAGGGGGGCCTCAAGAACTGAAGGTGGTTTGGATTAATTATCTTTGAATCGATTAGTATAGGGTAATTTAATTATGTTTCTAATTGTAAAAATTAATTTCAATTAAGAAGATATATATAAAAGCTAAGCGGTGTGATTAAAGATCACTCTAATTAATCACATTTCAATGCTAATGTTAAGATTAAGTTATTTTTGTGAAAGTTAAGATTAAGTTATTAAAATATTGATATTGAAACAAACTTTGATTTATAAGAAAGATTGCAGTTGTTATCCGAATATGCATCATATCTATGAAGAAAATTGACTTTGTGATCATAGCTTGCAAAGGACCGTAATAACGTAAATCAGTTCAAGTTGCCCATCTATAAGTCATAATTGATCGTCTCAAACCGAGAAAGTCAATAGACTGCTCCCATTAATAATTAAACTTGAAACTTTGTGATTACTAAATTAGTAACCTGACCAACTCAAGTCAGATGCAAAAGCTTCCAGAAAGTAAACTAGCTATTATATTGTAAGATAGATCAAACACCAACATGTGCGTGCATGCATGCTTTTATATATATATATATATATATATATATATATATATATATATATCCTAGCCTCTAAACATCCATATTCAACAAATTAGACTGTAGCATCAACGTCAACTACTATGTAGTGTGATAACACATTTATTAT